AAAAAGTTAACATATTTTTTTTTCTTTTTTATTAACAATGATATATTTTAAAATCCGTATACCAAAGGAACCCAATTAATTACAATATTATTTTTAACTTGTTGAAACAAAAAGAAGATCACTACAACAGGAGCAGACAAATTATCTCGCTGCCCTCTATGCGTCTATAAATAGTGGCTTCAAGAAACTTCATCATCATCATCTTAGCAACAAACCCTTTAGGTACTTCTCTAAACCTATATATACGTCTAACTATATATCTCATATATATAAACATCTTCAGTATTTGCTTATAATGATCAAAATATTTGGTGTTTAATCAAGTTCTTGATAGCCCTAAGAGATTGTATCAGGTTCAAATTAATACCCATATAGTTTTCAATTGTAAATAAAAAATGTTTAATGGTTTGGGAGGCATTGATAGTGTTGACAGAAGATAGAGAGCACAGATGACAAGATACAATTCGGAGCAGCTTCTTTGCATCTTACTCCTTTGTGCTCTCTAGGCTTCTGTCATCACCGGTTATTTTGCGGTCGCCCATCTTCTTTGACATATTATATGTATATACACAACTATGTTTCTATCTTGTTTCTTCCATGGCTTAATTTTGACTTGCAACTATAGGAATGCAAATTTTATAGCCTAAACATGTTTTCGTCAAGATATATTGATCATGTTCTTAGTTAAATTTATATATACTCTAAGTTTCTATATTGAGTTTTCTTATCTTCAAATATATATATGGGTTTGAGTTTTAAGGTATATATTTTAGCTTGGCTTCATCCAAATTTGTTTGTTAGATTCAATTAAAGACTGATAATCAAACTTCATTAATACATGCATATAAATCTGGATATATAGTGAATGTGATAAAAGCGCTCAATAAGTTCAAAGATTTTAAAAGTGGAAATAGGTTTTGTAATTGGTGTGGTTGTAATCAATTGTTGAGAAAGTATGTAATAAGTTAGAGTTACAATTTCTAGTAGTACGTATCTTAATTTATATCTTTGGGGCCGAGAAACCAAAATGAAACAATTTCAATCGTTTCATCAAACTATTTCTCAAAGAGCCCTGACCATGGATCTTCAAGCATCAGTTTGTTTCGTTGGGGAGATTAAGGTAAAGATTGTGTGCTTTAAGTCTGAATTTCTTTTGTCTAGTCGCTGACTCATTAGTTATAGCTTTGGATGTTTGTATTATTAAAGGAAGTGTTATAACTTATATGTTCAATAAAATATACAAGAGATCATTTACTTTTAACATGTTCCCATAGCTATGATTTATGGAGACTTTTGCATCTCTCGGCTAATCTCTCACTTCATGGGGTTCTCCATTTGGCAAAAATTTCTCACACGGCTTCAAAGACAGTCTCACAGCAGCAACTCAACCATCCTACGGCTCAAAACAGCACCAGCAGTCATCTATGAGACATGGTGAGAGCGAAAATAACCGGATCCGCAGCATCCCATCATAAAATCTATTCAAATTTGTTGATCGCACGCGGAATTAAAAACAATTGTCTTGCGAGGCAGTTTATTTGACTATTCATGGATACTTAGTGTTATGATTCAGCCAAACTCCGAGCTTATATATATATTTTTTTAATCTAATATGAAATTATATTCAAAGAAAAAATTAATGTTATACAAATTAATGCAAACTTTTTTAGGAAAAAAAACTACAAAGAAGATTCCCTCATTGGTGTCGTCTTGATGCAAACCAAGCTTGTAGTCCCTTGCGTATTTCTCTTCTCCTTTCTTTTACAACCCTTTCTTTTATTTCATTGTAATAGTTTCATTACATTTATAGCAATAAATTGGGCAATTCAGAAAACTTTTAAAACATTGACAAGATATAGGTTAAAAGATATATATATTAACTATATATAGTCTTATCAAACTGATGAATTTGTGGTTTGTTATAGTATATATATATATATATATATATAAACCTCGATTTGATAAGACTTTAGTCTATAAATTATTTCATGTCTGAAAAAGAAAGGCTACCCAACAATTGTTTACTAATTGATTAGAAAAAAAGTTACTCCTCAAGTTCAATATTGCAGTCGATTTTTGGATAATGAAAACGATTCTCAATTTAAATTAAACGTTAAAACTTAAAAGGTCTCACTCTTCAGCATCGTTGGAAAACTAACTCACGCCCTCAAAGATCATCGTTTCAGAGTACACAAGTCTTATTATTCACGTATATCTTTACAAATATATCTAACAATCTCGTTCTTGTTTTGTTTCCGGGATCTAAATACAATCCACAGAAACTAAAATATAACTAATGTTCAACCCTAACACAGAAATACATGCTCTCTGTGCACATAAAACATAACTAGACCTATAAGTCCATTACTGATCCTCTGATCTTGAAAGCTGATAGCTAGGTCTAGGTTTAAAGTTTTTTTTTTTTTTTTTTTTTTCGCCTCTAGGTTTAAAGTTTTGTGTCAAAAGAGTACATTGATTTCAAAAACAATCTAATATTCAGTATCTTGGTAACGTTACCACTATAATCAACTATAGAAAAATCATTGTCTTTATCAAAAGCAAAAGTAATTTGACCCATGTAGATTTGTATAGAAAGAGAGAAGAGACATGGGTCTAGAACTCTTTTATTCGGCCCGGCCCAACCCAAAATTATCAATTTCATTAAAATATTCAAACCCTAAACTTTGCCGCTTATGTGAGGCGCTTCTTATCAATTAACACTCTTACTAAACTGGATTACGTTAAGAGAACCATAGTGGTTGCACCCAGGCGTGACATGCTACGTTACAGATAGAACCATGTATACTACAATACGCAATCGATGATTCAACTCTGCATAATGGAGTATGCTAGTGGCAACATTTAGTAAGATCTTCTAAATGTTGGATAACCATCCCAGAAACGGATAAAGTAGATGATTCATCATTATTGTAGCTCTAAAATTCTATAAATGATAACATTCTCAGGCACAGTCAAAATAAATATGGTAAGTTGAGATGACCAGATTAGATCAAGGGCATAATGCCAAAGGATATAGCCATATAGCTATAAGATGCTGAACAAAATTACTCATTTTCAGGTGTATATAGTTGTTTGAATCGTTCACAAGAGCTAGAGCCACAAAATGAACACAAGATTCTTCTTTTCTTTGTTTTATCTTTTGCTCGAACCTACAGGGAGAGTCAATACTAAACCAAAGACTGTTTTAATCTAAGAGAGTGGTAAAACGTTATCTTTCTCTAAAGCAACACTATTTCTAAAAAAAATGGTCAAATTGCTTGCATGTAATTTGACATTCAATAACCTAGATTTTAAGGCACAACATTTTACTGTAGCGTATCGAACTAGCATACTGATATCAAAAACTGTCTAGTAAAGTTACCAGTTACGACCACAGTTAGTACCGAATTTAACCAATAGACAAAGCATCCTCCATATGAAAGGCAAATCTAACCCAACTTGAATCTTCCTACTCTTAAAGATTCACAATGTATCTTCCAGCTAGTAAGTATCCCAATGACATTCTACAAACTTCATCGACCTTGCAAGTTGAAACCATTTTAGCAAAAGAAGTAGTTTTAGATCAACTAACACATACACATCCTATGACTTAGACTAAGTTTTTTTCAGCATATGGCAGGAACTAACTAGTGACAACTTCTAATCAGAAAATCGTCAAGAAATAGTTTTTTTGCAGAGAAATTGCTATATTCTGACCCTAAACAGAACAACTTGACACATAAGAATATCATTCGATACAATCACTGCATTCTTCTCCAACTAGTAAGACCAGGAAAACACATAGTTCTAGATAAACTAACACATTCTATGATTTAGACTATGTTTATCAGCATACTGCAGGAACTTGACGGTTTCGAGAGATTACTCTTCGGACATAGATACACAAACCAAGATAACCAAAAAACACACTCATATATTAACAACAAACCAAGTCAATCTTCTCCCATGAATGTATCACCTCCACTGTAGCATTTACAATGAAAAAAAAACTATAACAATTATGATCTGTAGTTTTGCATTACGACTCCTACTATCAACAAGTCAAGAAATCTTAACTCCCAAAATAAATCAATCAGAACATAGAAACATGGAATAAGTAATTTGAAAGAAAGTTCCATAGTTTTACACAAAGTAAACAAAAAACTTTCATCAATACAAATTTCATATCTTTGTTGAATCTAAATCCTTTGTAAGTTGAAACCATTTTAGCAAGAAGTAGTTTTAGATCAACTAACACATACACATACTATGACTTAGACGAAGTTTCAGCGTATGGCAGGAACTAACTAGTGACAACATCTAATCACAAAATCGTCAAGAACTAATTTTCTGCAGAGAAATTGATATTCCCTTGTCGACCCTAAACACAATAACTCCATACATATAATTTCGTCCTACACAATCACTGCATTCTTCTCTAAATGGTAAGACCAGCAAAACACAGTTCTAGATAAAGTAACATATGCCCATCCTAAGATCTAGACTATGTTTATCAGCAAAACAGAAACTTGAGTCCGGTAAGCAGAGATTACACATAAATACACAAACCAAGATAACCAAAAAAACAAACTCATATTTCACAACAAACCAAATCAATCATTTCCCATGAATGTATTACCACCACCACTGCAGCAATTAGAAAGAGACTATAGCAACACAACAGTTTATGATCTGTACTTCTGCACTTTCAATAAGGTACCAAAACAAATCAAACAGAACAAAGAACATTGAATTAGTATAACTGGAAGAAAATTGCATAGTTCTACACAAAGTAAAAAACTTTCATCAATACAAATTTCATATCTTTGTTGAATCTAAATTCCTTCTCAAGTCTCTCCTGCTTAATCCGAGAGAACCACACATTTCTTCATATCCATATCCCTAATTATATTCCTATAATCCTACCAACATTTATATAATAACACCTTTCCCTTTCCTTATTCCTATTGCAAATATGTTTCTTCTCAATTCATTACCCAGAAAAGTTACGATATTTATCAAATCTGTACACAACCACTAATTATTACCCTTCTTCTTCTCCAGATCAGCGACTGAGCATCATCATCCTCTCTTGATCAGTAAGTAAGTGACGGAAATGGCAACGATGACCGTACGGACACATAGCTCCGGTGACAATCATTCTACAAACCTCAGTTTTGTAGCGTGGATGCCTAATCACAGGACGGAGCTCGCCGATTCCGTGAGCAAATTGGCAATTATCGCCGTAAGGACAAGCTCCAGTCTCTTGCCATTTGTTACAAAGCTCCGTCTTCATCATCCCTTGACGATATACCTCAAGCTCTAATGCTTCTCTCTCTCCTACACACACCTTTTGAGACGACACCTTCATAGATATTTATGACGTCATTAATAAATAAACAAAAAATTAAAAAATTAATTTAATTAAATAAAGTGAGAATTACCGAGTCGGAGCTGAGTTGACTCGTTTGACGATCAGAAACTCCAAATCCATGGTTGATCTTGAGATAACCTGGAGATCTGACGGAGATGCTCTTAGGCAACGAGTTTCTCTCTGGATTATTTCTCTTCACGGAGCGAGAATGCTTATGAATCGGACCGAAATCGGAGATCTGGTGACAGAATTGGCGGTTATGGTTATAGATCGGCGGTGGAGAGACGGAGGAGGAGGAGGAAGAAGATGAAGTAGAGAGATGAATAAGTTTGAGTAGATCTGAGTTTTCAAAGCGGAGAGAATCATTTTCGTGACGAAGAGAGTCAAGTTCCGTCATTAGAGATTGAAGACGGTTAAGGCAAAGCTCGTAATGCTCGTTGAGTTCATCGTACTCGAGGATAAGTCTCGCTTGACGAAGACGATGCTCTGTTGTAGTATCGACGCGAGGTGGTGGTGAGGAAGAGGACGGAGGAGAAGGAGAGAGTGATAACGAGATCGGGAATTGAGATTCCGGTGAGAAAATTGAATTGTAGAGTGATGCGAAACTTGCGGCGAATTCTTCTTGATGTTTGTTGTTGAAGCTTTTTTCAGAGAGAGGTGATAATGGAGGTGGTGGTGAGTTTATCGCTGTTACGTAAGCTAGATCTGTTATTGTAGATGAAGAGAGTTTCTCCATTGTTGTGATTTTCGAAAGCTTCTTGAAGAAGATTCACAGATTTGGAACTTTAGAGAAGCGAAAGAGAAAGAGCGGTGAAATAAAGATATGAACAATACTCTGTATATATATATATACAAAGTGTGAAACAGAGAGAGAGGTGAGGAAGAAGAAAGGGATAAAGATCGTATGTGGGAGAGACTACGGGAAGATTGTTACATTTCTTAATTGAGACTGTACGATGAGATGGTCTTAGGATGTGATTGATTAGAGGATGTATTTAATTGGTTAGTGAGTTGATTCTCCATGGTTAAGTAAAGTACAGAGGAGTATTCTACCTACTTCACTTTTCGCGCCAACTTCAGAACCGTTAGAGATGTCTAACAAAATATTAGTATATGTTTTTTTTTTAGATAACTTCAACAACAAAACTAGTGTTTAGTTTTACACATACAGTGAGAAAATAATTAATAAAACTATTTTAGTGTATAGTTTTAAAACGTAAGATTGGGACAATATTCACCATAAAATGTTAAATCCTTTTGTTCGATCATATTTACTATTTTAGTCAATAACATGGATGAATTTTCGATCCCAAAAGAAGCTTAGAGCTCTCTCCTCGTTAGTTCGATCCGCTTGAGAGATAGATAAATTTACATACATTGATCATCGGTCCACGAAGATGTTACAAATTTTGGCTTGGAACTCCGTCGTAAATCAAAAGAATTAAATTTCGATCGATGATTGAATTTCCGATTTACGTTCAACTAACACAAAACTAGTGAAAAACATTATTAATATATTCAATAAGCAAGTATATACATCAACGTCAAGCAAAAATCTATTTGGGAAAAAATTTAGATGGAAAAAAAAAGTTTGTTAGGAGGGGAAGTTTTGCTTGTAATTTGGAGAATAAGCAAGTATGTATTGATGTGTTTGAAGAAACAAAATTAAAGAAGAAAAATTCATTTCTTAAGTTTGGTTTGGGCCAATCATGAATAAGAATAGTTAATTAATTGATACTAAAATACACATTTTTTATATGTTTTGTTTAGATTCATGTTGTTAACGACCGTAGTAAGGTAAGGAATATATGTGTGAGTTTGCTTCAAGACCACAACTTTAACTAACTATATGGTCCCTCTTTCTTATGTGTATATACTTCAATCAAAATCTATCGTTGTAGCTAACTAACTAGAAAATGTTTCCTTCCTTCTAACCCAACAACCCTACCCAAATTACCTTCTTACCCTTTCTTTTACATATCAATATATCATATAACTAAATAACTAATCCAAATTAAATATATTATCATAATTATCGATATAAACTTTGGGAAGCAAAAATTCAAAAGTATATATTAAAAAATATATGTATTTAGTTCGTAGAAATTACATTCTACGATGTCATTTTGAGAATATTTTTAATATAACAAATATTAGATGGAATATTGGAGATTAATATCCTTTATTTGCAAACGTAACGAACAATCTACAATCTATGAAATGGCATGGACGATAGGTCTGGGCATAATACCCAAAGCCGAGGAATCGACTCAAACCCGACCCGAAAAAACCCGATTATAACATAAATTCGAAATTTTCAAATATCTGAATGGGTCCTAAACTTTAAAACCGAAAAATTCGAACCCAAATCCGATCCGAACATACCTCAAATATAAGTATATGTTTGATTTGATCTCGCTACCTACTATGTATACTACTATGTATACTGTTATAACTCTTCTTCTACCTCTATCTACTGAGGATATTGGAGCACTAACCCGCCCCTTCTATTCACTAATGGTATATTAGTAATATTCATACTTATATATAGAAAAATATTCGGATTTTTCCGGATATTTTGGTTATTTTTGTGTATTTTCGGTGTCTTTTAGATATATTCAAGTAAAAATATTCGTGTTATTTTAGGAATTTTCGAAATTTTCAAGTAATTTGATAGATTTGAATATAAAATTTTGATTTTCGAATATTTGAATAAACCCGAATCCAAACCCTGAACTAAACCTGATCGAAAATCTTAAAATATCCGAACAGATCTTAAACTTGTAGATCAAAAAATCCAAGATCCGATCCGAACCCGACCCGATTATCCGAACGTCAAGGTCTAATGGGCGATGTAGTTCGTAGAAATTATCCATTGTCGTTAATTCGTTATAAAGAAAAAAACTGATAAATACTCGAGACTTAAATGGGTTTAAGCCCAATACATACGTCAATAAGCCCAACAAATACGCAAAAGCCCATATGCATCGAATACTTACCAAATATCTTTTCTCAATCTTATCTGATTTTCTCATCACTCATAAATTCACAATTCAGTGATTGTCATTTGTCCAATCACAATTCACAAAACCATGGCATCAAATAATAAACTCTGGAGCCGTAAACCAGACGTCAAAACCGGGAAATCCGAATTTCCGGTTACCAGATTCCTCCGGACACAAATCGATAACATCAAGAACACAACCGCCGGTCCCGGAATCGGAGGCGGCATTGGCTGCGGAGCTGGAATCGGCATTGGTCTCACCGGCGGGCTCGGTATAGCTGCCTCTGAAGGTCTGAACCATTCTAATGTGGTTCTTGGATTCGGTATGGGTTGCGGTATCGGGTTCGGGTTTGGATACGGGTTTGGAGTTGGCGGCGGGTACAGTTTCGATGACATTAAAGATAGATTTGACCTATGAGAAAAAGCTCCGGTTCATAATTCCGGGTCGGGTTCGGGTAAAGATTTTTAATAGATGATTAAAAACATTTCTGTTAATTTTGTATTAACATTTTTGTTAATTATTTATTTTCAATCAAAAATATCCTTCCTTTTGTCCTTTTATTTTTCTAATCAGTTCTTAATTATGAAGGATTAACATGAAAATAATAAAAAATTATTACATACAATTTATTATAAATTTATAATTATGAAGTAAGAACATAAAAATAGTTGATTATTACATAAAATTTATCATTAATTAATAATAATTAAATCGAAGAAACCAATTTCTCGAAGCTCTCGTAGACATTTCTCATGAGTGGTCTTTTATCTGGGTTCTTCTGCACACAAGCTAAACCGATTTTGATCACTTGAACCATACTCTCCTCCAAATCTCTATCACGAGCTAAAACCGGATCAAGAACATACCAAACCGGTTTATTTCTCTCACTAGCCGATTCAACCCACATAACTAAATCCATCTCTGAATTAACCGGAGATTTTCCGGTTACCAATTCGAGTATCACTAAACCGAATGAATACACGTCCCATTTTTGAGACGGTTTAGTCATCTTTGAAGCTGCTTCAGGAGCTTGGTAATATGATTCTCTAGAGACGATTGGTGAGCTTGTTTCCATTGGAGAGATTTGGTCTGATCTGATCTCTGAAGATGTGTCGACGATACGACCTAGACCGAAACCGGATACTTTCGGTTCTAGATTCGGTCCGAGAAGTATGTTGCTTGAGTTTATATGTCCATGGACGTATCTTTTGGGACTAAACTCGTGAATGTAAGTTAATCCTTTTGCGATTCCTCTTAATATTCTTAACCGGACCGGCCAAGTTAGTTGCTTGCAAGACACGCTACCAGGTCTACCTGTCATAAACTTGTATGAATCAGACTTAACTTTAAGTCTAAAGTATGGTCATAGATCTATGAAATCTTACACTACACTTACCTTGAATTGCAGAACCAAGGTCACCATTTGGTATGTAATCATAGATCAGGAGTTTCTCTTCTGGAGACCAGCAACAAGCCTTGAGATTCAAGACATTCGGGTGCTTGATTTTCGCCATTGCTTCGACATCAGCTAGAAACTCTTTGAGCCTTAGCCAACCTCTATCTTCCAATCGTCTAACGGCTAACATTAACCCGTTTTCAAGAACAACCTTGTACACAAGCCCAATCCTGCTCTTCCCTAGAAGAAAAGCCGAGGCTTTCAGAAGCTGGTCCAGGTCAAATTCGATTTCCGGGTCCATTGGCATGAAAACTTGTTGACTTTTGTTCTCTAGCGCTTCAGATTCTGAATTCCCAGTCTTGAAACATAAAAACTCTGGCTTTGTCTTTTTCAGTTTCTCTTCTGTGTGGTTGTTCTCATCTTTGATTGCACGAGCTGATGCTTTTCGAAGATAGTAGATGAACAACGAAGCAAGAAAAATGATTCCGGCGACTGTGCCTCCAGTGGCTGTAAGGATGATGCAGAGTCTAGAATGATGACTGGCTCTTCTTGTATATAGTTGAGAAGGAACTACTTGTGTGTTTCTTGTGGTGCAAGAAACTTTTATCGGTAATCCGCAAAGGAAAGGGTTCCCTTGGAAAGCATTTGGACCGGCATTCAACAAAACGTTGGATTTTGGTATCGGACCACTGAGATTATTGTAAGAAAGATCGACATATAGAAGCTCCGGGAGATCTCCAAGACTTGCTGGAATCATACCTGAGAATAAGTTATGAGAAAGATCAAGAGTACCTTTAAGATTCTTCAGACTTCCGATATCTTCGGGGATCGTTCCAGTTAATCGATTGAAAGAAAGATTCAGCGTCCGAAGATGAACCAAGTTAGAACCAAACCCGGTTGGAAGAGCTCCAGAGAAACCATTCTTGCTAAGAACAAGTGTTTTCAGCTTCTTGCATCGAATAAGCGACAAAGGGATCGAACCGTTGAAAGAATTCTCCGAAAGATCCAATGTCATTAGACTCTTCAACCTCCCAATCTCTTCAGGAACCAACCCGGAAAAAGAATTCCCGGACAGCACCAAGCTTTGAAGCCCTTTAAGTCCATATAGTTCCACAGGTAACTCCCCTTGAAACTCATTCTCTCTAAGGTTAATGTGACGAAGCGACAAGAGACTTCCAATGGATGGATGAAGAAAACCCGAAAGACGTTTATTAGGAAGACGAATCGAAACAACTCTCAGCTCATCATTACATGTAATACCTAACCAAAAACAAGGGTTTGAATCTGAAGAGTTCCAATTGGTAAAAACAGAGTCACTACTCTGGTTTTGTAAGGATTGTTTAAAGGAAAGAAGAGCAAGACCTTGATCGTTTAAAGAAGTCGCAATGGCAAAAAAATGAGTTAGAATTAAGGAGAGAATGAGGAATAATTGAGCCATCTCTAAAGAGAAACACAATTCTGAATTGAGTAAAGTTTGGCTTCTAAATATCTCCAAAACAATAGTGTTTGCTATATAGCTTGGACTGGCCTAGCTAGATTTCAAGTCAACAGTTTAAACTTCTTTTCAATTCTAAATTTTATGAAGATATTTATTTTTTTGAAGAAAGTTACATCTAAATTCATGCATCAAACAAAATATAATAAAGAATATTTTGAAAATTTTATATGTGAATATACTTACATTTATATGTCAATGGAATTAGCGATGATTGAGGCTATAATTGGAACAGGAAGGGACACGTAATGTTAATGAGGAACAGCTTTTCTAGTTTCTAGTTGTTTAGTTAGTGGTGGGGAAATCTATTGACAATTTTACTTCAAGATCATAAAGTCAAATCTCCACCAGAATTATTATTGTGCCGGTCAATTTAAGTTTGGGTTCGATTTGATTTGTACTCCAGTTTACTTCTAGATTGTTTGTTTCTGTTTTGGAGTATGTCACAAATCTAACTAGTTTGGGGAGGAATAAGAGTTAACATTTGTCGGGAAAATACATGAAAACAATAATACTACTTGAAGTGAAATTTCTGAGTGACCAAATATTTCTACTATGATTATTAGTTTATTACATAATTTTATAAGTTTATTTGGTTTTTATTTGGTTTACATCAACGAATTTTTATTTCGACGACCATTCGGTTAAAAACATAATGTAAAATTTAGATCATTTTTTTTAGGTACTTGTGCCCCAAATCTTTTATATAATTCTAGTTGACAAAAAAAATTTAGATGCAAGTAATTTAATTAAAATATTATTCGTAATATGATTATTATATTTTAAAAATATTGATAATTGTTTTATGAAAGGAATAATTAAAAACTAAATTATTCATTTCTTATACTCCTTCCGTTTTTAGTTGATGATTTATGAGAAATTTTTGTTCTAAATTAGATGATAGCTTCAGTTTTCAATGTAATATTAATTATTTTTTTTATTAGTTTTGACGATATATATTATGCATATTATTTTTCTATTGGTTGATTATATAAAAAATGATGTTTTAATTTCGAAATAAACAAATATTAAATGATTTCTTAATCGATGTGCAAAAACCTTAAACACCAGTAAAAAGAAACGAAAGGAGTAGTTAAATTAGGTTTTAGTTTAATTTACTTTGATTTGTGTGTCAACAAAATATTTACGCCGAAAAAAAAAAAATCAACGTCTGGTCTTGGTCTTGTATGTAATTTGTTGGTTCTAGTTCGCTATAAACCATTAAAATTACTGAAAACAAATATGACAAAATTACTTGACTATTATAAAATGCAATACTTTATTTTCATTAATATACACCTAAAGTATACATAAATACAACAAAATGCAAAACAAATAAATCACTTACAAGCTACAAACAATTTGAAACATATGCAAGCAAAAAAACTTTCAGTCACTTCACTTCAACAAGATAACTAAACTTCTCATTGTTCTAAAGAGGAATTACGCCTTTTCCGGCTAAAAAATTTGACCATGTTTGGAACTTTCTTCTTCTTCTTGATTACAAAGAAAGTTGGAGTCGCTCTGTTCCCTGCAGATGAGTATCTTCTCGACTTCCCTCCCTGAACCGGTGTGAATTTCCCGCTCAGCCTAACCGATTTTCTCACCGGTTTTGGAGAATTGTTCAAGTCTTTGTCTTCTGAGTTTTCCTTGAACTTCTCAATCTCATCCTGGATCAATCTCTTTATCGATAGCGACCTCTGCATCCTAAACGATTCCCTTTCTTCTTCCAACATTGTTTTCCCACTCACTCTCTTTAAAGATTCTGTCTTTATCATAATTGCCTTAGTGCTAGCCTTGAGTGCTTCGACCCATGCCATTGCTGCTTCCACTTTCTTCTCTGCGGTTTCTTCCGCGTGACAAGCTTTCCCACTCAAATACTCGTACTCGAATCTTGATATTGTGATGGTTGAATTACGCTGAGATTCCATTTCCCGAGTTTCCATTGTTTTCTCTACCATTGATTCAAGCTTCTTGAGAGCTAAAGCCTCTTCGTGCTTTGCTTTCTCAAGCTCATCTAACTTGGAAAGCAACTCTTTTTCCTTTCCATCAAAACCTATTTCGATATTCTGTATTTCTTTATCGATGATCCTTGCTTCTTCTTTAAGTTTAAGCTCCTCTTTCTTCGCAGCTTCTCTATCGTTCTTTAGTTTCTCAAACGAAGTAGTCAAATTGTCAGCAAGATAGCTGATTCTTTCTTCAGCTGCAGATACTGCTGCTAATTGATCTTTCGCAATAATCAGCTTCGTATTGAGTCTCTCAATCATTACATCATCCTTTTGTATCATCTTATCTAACCAAGCTGCTTCTTTTTTTGCTTGGTCAAGTTCTTTCCTCAAGGTATCCATTGTATTAACTAAACAAAAGAGCTCTGCTTTAATAGAAGCGAGTTCCGCCTTCTTCGCTTCAGTAGCTTCCATAACTTCTTTCAACACCGACAAATTATCTTTTCCTCTTTCAAAAGCTCGGTTTTTCAATCTCGACATACTATCATTTCTCTGAACCTTCCTCTCCATTTCCTTGACAAGCTTTAACTGAGTTTCCAACATCTCAATATCCGATAAAGTCTCAGATAACTCATTCTCAAAGCTGTTTGATCTCTCAATCTCTCTCTTCACTTCCTTTATTCTTTTCTTTCGTTTATGCAATGACTCAAACACTTCCTTCCTTTCCCTCTCCCTCTGCTCTTCAACCTCTTTACATTCCTTCAAAGCCTCGATCTTCGCCAATTCAACCAAAACATGTTCTTCATTCGCTACATCAACCTCTAACTTTAGACTCTCCAACAACTTCAAATTCTCCTCCATTCTAGACCCCAACTCCATTACTTCTTTCTCCGCCACAACTTTCTCTCTCGAAACATACACTATATCAAGCTTCAGCTTACTCAATTCTTGCTTCAAATCCTCCAACTCTCTCATAATCCTAGCATACCCACCATTCCTATCTACCCTTGACTCATTCATCACAGCTTCAATATCGATTTTTCGAGACTTTAACCTTCGATTCGACTCCTCTATCCGTAAAGTAAGCTCCTTTACTATCTTCTTCGCCTTACACAATTCCACTTCTGCTTTCGCCTTTGCAGACTCAGCTACTCTTCTGCTCTCCCTGTAGATTCCAAGCTCCTTCCCTGACTTATGCAAATCCTCCACAACCGAAGAAGACTGATAACAAAAACAAAAACTTTAACATACAAAATTGCATCATTTGCATTAAAAATCGAAACTTTAATCTAAAGAATCGATCTTTGGTTTATACCAACTATATACAATTCTCAAAAATCAAAACTTTAGCAAACTAAAAGCATTCTTTGCACAATTATGAAAGAAATTACACATTTTGAATCTGAAAAATCTGATCTTTGGATTCACCTTAATGACACTTCTTGTAGCTTTTTGTCCGTACTTATTAATGGCGGCTTTCACTGATACAATTCCACCTAAAGTCCTTTCACCCATTGATCTGAGAACTTACAGGTGAGTGAGATGTTGGAGGAAGAGAAAGGTTGGTGGTGTTGCAGAGAATAAATGGAAGAGAAGAAGGAGATGATGATGATTGGTTCACGTCGTCTCTGTTTTCTTATCATTTTGTTCTGTCTTGGGAAAAATTTGGAGAGAATTTATGAAAGTTTTGTTTCTTCTGAGCATTGTATGTGAGGCCAAGGATACCACAAGTAGCATAAGGGCATCATCAATGGGGGATCATGTGAGGGTGTTCTTATAGAGAATATAATGTTAAAATAATGTAAGATCATGTGTTTAGATCTTTTGTTTAGAAGTTGATTAGTGGGAGAACATGTGTAAGATCTTAAGACTTAATAATATAATAATCTAAATTAAATTAAGATTTTACAATTATTAAAACATTTAAAAATAACATATAAATTGCAAATGCCAAATTTATGAAAAACTGAAAATAAAAGTGAAAATACAATACTAAATATTTATGAAAAAAACATTAAAAATATAAATAACAATAAACAAACAAACATATTACTTAATAAAAGCACAAAAATATTTTATCTAATTAATACATAGTTTATTATCCAAATTTATTTCAAATATGTTGAATATTCCAACCAATGCCCAAATGCCACGTCACCCTGCAACACCCACAAGAACAGATCCAGGTCAAGAGCCCAGTTCCTGATCTTAAGCCCATTAACCCATTTTTTTGGATTTAAATAATGCTTAGATCAGGGGGGGTGATCCCCCAATGCAGATGGTCTAAACATATATGACATATTGTGACATGTGAGACAATTCCAAATAACTTTAGCACATACACTAATTGAGAATATCCAAATAAAATTTTATCTCCTATACAATATTTCCACAAGTAGAGAAAGTTCTTTCGTTTTGACGTGTTGACACCACATCCCCTAGGCAGATGTTTGTGTTTAGGCTTGGACATAAAAACTGAATCCGAAAATCCTAATAGGAACCAACCCGAAATAACCGGTTCGGTTCGGATGCGATTATTGCCAAAATACTCGATGGTCCTGTGTAGTCGTATCCGTGAGTATAGGATAATATCTGGAATCGATCTGATATCCGAACATGTACCCTAATCTGAAACTACACACTTGTACATATAAAACATGTACTTATATCATGTAATTAGGTAAAAATGTCGGGTAATCAGGTACAATTTTCGGATGATTCGGATAAAATGGCGGGTAATCGGATAGAATTTTGAGTAAACGGGTACAAAATATATGAATAAAAAGGATATTCGCTTTTTCAAGTATTAAATGGCTCCAAAATTCTTCTATCAGAACCGTTCCGGAATCGATAGGAACCGAACCGATACCTAAACCGAAATTTCTCGAGTCCTAAATGGGTCCAAAACTCTTATACTCTTAACCGAGTCGAATACTCATATGCCCAGACCTATTTGTGTTGTTGGTCTTTTGTTTTAAATCGTAACAATCCAACTAGAGGACATAATGATCTGGTTCAATTGTTGGTTCACCCACTCAATATTTGTGATTAGGCTATTTTAGCAAATTGGGCTATTGTAACATATGATTTATCTTTCGGCTACTTTCAATATTTAACATATCAAACATAGTAATTCAAACGATTTGGTAAAGATAGAGAGGTAAGTAAAACAATTAAACATGAAGATTATACATTTGGTGCTCATCGGCTTCGTGATATTCTTAGCACTATTTTTCAGCACTAATTTGGCAAAAGGAGTGTTCTGAAAAGGCGCTTGAATATTGTCGATGTTTGTGTCAATTCATGGCCAAGCCAACGTTTAAAAACTACATCGCCAAATGCTGGCGGACTTGTGGTATACCTTTGCCCAAATGTTAGTTTTAGGGATTTTTTATGAACAATAAAAGAAAATTAAATAACATATAGCATAAATCAAATGTCTTATGAAAAACATTATGCTGGTTAGTGCTAATGTCATAGCTAGATTTTTTGGTTGAATAAATTTTACATTTTTTTTTTTTAAAGTCAAATCTATTATTTTATAATTTTTTTACATGCACCACCAATTTTTTTTCTTATAAACCCTATCGGCTGATTCGGTCAGCCCCGGTAGGAATGCACCAAGGTGCAACAGAGTGGACTACTCCTGTGGTTCAACGGTTTAACGCTTCAACGGATACCATGAGCTCCGAGCAGACTCGGGTCAAACGGGCCATGAGATTCATGAGATCCAAAATTGGGTCATCACACTGTCTGATCCTAGTTTGGAGTGCCTTCCGACTAATGACAGGAGGTAGTCAGACCGCCTGCATTTCTGACTACCAGGTAAACCAATTGGGCCAAAGCCCAACTGACAGACATCCCAAATAAATGTGTTTTTGTTTCCAGGGAGAATCGAACTCAGGTTTGGGAGTTTCACCCTTTCCCAAAGCTTCCTCTGCCACTAGACCACAGATGCTTGAGCTTTTGTTTTGTTTTCTTCTTCTTTTGGAGGTCTCTTAGCCCTCAGCTGAAATAATTTGATCTAAATTAATAAGCTCTAACTAGTTGTCCCATTTATTTATTTTTTTAACAAACCCTAATTTAATACGTGTGTCACTATTACTTATTTTCAACCTTTAGTTTCTAGGTTCTTTTTGCATGACGACTAGTTGCGTTCACGTTATTTAACGATGCAAGATACATGCATTTTGCGTTACGGGATGCAATGCGAAACCCAAACCTAATAAATACTAAAAACAAGACCTCTAAGAGAAATATAAAATACAACCAAATTCCGGACATGAAGATCGTGACATTGGTACTCGTTGTCTTCGTCATCCTTTCGACATCATTCCCGGCTGCCATCGTCAAAGCCGCAGACACGGGAGATACAGGAGACACGGGAGATACAGGAAATGTGGGAGTGACATGTGACGCAAGGCAGCTTCAGCCTTGCCTTGCCGCGATTACGGGAGGAGGACAACCCTCAGGTGCATGTTGTGCAAAGCTTACAGAGCAACAATCATGCCTTTGTGGTTTCGCTAAGAACCCTGCGTTTGCACAGTACATTAGCTCTCCAAACGCTCGCAAAGTGCTCGTTGCTTGTGGTGTTGCTTATCCTACTTGTTGAAATATACACTACTAGAGATTTTATAAATAAATAATTGAAATGAAATAAATTACATTATATCAAACGTTTTATGAAACAGTTTAACCGTTTGTGTTAATGTACTGGCTTACATGGTTAAATAAAGTTTATTTTCGTGTTTATTTTTATATATTTCCGGGAGAAACGGATAACCAAATGCCAAAACACTCCAAAAGATAAAATTGACATATGTTGAATAAACTAATGTTCGCCAAATCTTTGAGAAAAATGGATGATGCCTTTTGACAGATATTTGGAATATCTAAAATGTATGAATTAGAAAGCTCATACATCTGCATACAATCGAATTATTTTCATTTATATTTTGTTTGATTACAAAAATTTGAATCGATTGTACCAATCTTCAAAAGTTAATATATATGGTTGTATGTAGCTTGAATATTTTGTTTAATACAACTGTAGAAAATAAAAGTCATAACATTGAATATTATAAACATAAAAAAATAATCGATTAAACAAATTACGGCATGCACATAAATCTAAAATGCTAGAACCACATATATACCATAGCTGACAAGAAAACCGCTATGGTAGAAGACCCTTTCATACCATATAACAAAAACGCTATAATATAGGTGACATTCAAGATGACTGTCGATAACACATCGTTTATGAAATTGCTATTAAATACGTACATAGATGTCGGATTCACACACTTAAATATTTTAAATTATTTATGGGTCAAAACTCTCAGGATCAATAGTACAAGACAATAACAGATAGAAAAAGTATGCGAATGTTAGTAGAAACGTAGACAAAAAAAATAGTATTTATTAATGTATAGCGTAGAACTTGATGCCCAAAAATAGTATAATTTTTACAAATATCTGTACTCGAGAGACGAGCTGCCTACGCACCCGAAATGAGATCAAGCCTAGATGTAGTTCGATTACAAGTCGAGAAATCGTCAAAATTTGTTTTCAAAAAAGGATAATTTTTTTTAATAGACTCAGTAGATGATATTTGCAATAAAATAGTGATCACTTGTCATACCATGTAGCACTCTTAGAGGTTTGGCAAAATCATCAAGATAAAAACATTTAATATGAATAAAACTGAATGAAAATAGCTTTAGTTTTTATTAACCTTACATAATGTTTAACAATACATTGATTTAGCATAATTGTATTATTCCTAAGAAAACTTTGCAATCACAAAATCATTCATCAAACCATGTATTCTATGTATACACACAACTACCATAACTTGGATCAGCAGTAACGACTTGACCAGTACCACTAAAATTACACGACTCTTCAGTGCTCCCATGATTCTGGTAGAAATCATTCATCACAAATGATGCATGGCTAAGAACAGTATCTGGATCAAAGCAAACTCCACCGGGATTGATTTTTGCACAGTCAACTTTTCCTTCGCTACATGCATAATCAATATTAGCTTGTAGTTGATTAGGTGCCGCCGATGAATTTGCCACACACCATGTCTTGGCTGAGACATGAAGGGGGTGGATTACAACAAGAGAGAAAAGAAAGATTAGTGTCAACTGCGGAAACATTGTGGTGTTTTACTTGTGAATGATAATTCAAATGATCTTATAGTATATAATATGATAATAATGTGGTGTTTTGCTTGTGAATGATAATAACTCAAAAGAGATTTGCACTATATATAATGTGATAAAATTTCTTCTGAAAGTAACTTATTTTCCATAATATTTTGATTTTATTTTATAAATCTTTGACCAATTTATGAAAATTATATTTTTGGTGGAATTGAAGACTAATTGACTAATGAAGTAAATGAAATATTGGAATATGAATATGTTATTCAACATATAATATTAATATTTATAAACTATTACCTTATATTAGAAATTATTTAAATAAAATATTCTGAGTTTTTAAGCTAACAATTGTTATCATAAATACGATGTTATTTTAATTAAAATATCACACATATCTTTATTCTTTTCTTTTTTTATATAAAACTATTTTTAGTCTCTTTGGCCATTGGCCGTGGGCTTCTACAGCCATGACGTTTGTTTGAATATTGTGTGCTTTTTTAAGTTTAAAGTTGTTATTCTTTTGCCTTAAGAGTGGTATGAGTTTAGGGTCCGTTTATATTTTAGAATTTGTATTGCGGCAAAGCATACATAGACAAATTTGTATATATATTCTGGTGTGGCTAGTCTTTGAGTTGCTATTCTCTGTTAGATTTTGCCGAAAATAGAAACCGGTAAAGATATATCTAGATCTTTGGATTTTATTCAGTATGGATCTAGAGTTTCGCGACTATTGATTTTCTTGTAGGGTTTTCTTCTCTATTTCACCCGAGATATTCTCGGCCCTCTCAGCCTCAAACCATCCACTGTAATTTTTGTTTTGAACCGGTTTTTGATGTCTTATTTTTAGGTTTCTTCCACTCAAATCAGCTCTCAAATTTGGGCAAGACTTGCTCTGTTTCTAGCTTTTCCTACCGAATCAAAGTCACTTAGCTCGACATCACCAGCACATCCTCTTTCGGCAAGCCTAATAATCCTCTACAAATGTTTCACTGTCATGTCGACCATTGGATGCTCAAGTTAAGGAAACCCAAATTTATTCTCCATTGTTGTCAGATTCTCTAGCGACATTAGAAAAATTTCCATTTCACACCCCTCTTCAGTGCACCCGTGCAACTGGTAGTAATCATTCATCACAAATGATTCATGGCTAGTAGGATTATTTAGTTCAAAGCAAGTTCCACCAGAATTATTACACAATCAAATAATTTTGGTCTTGAAACGGTTTTATACGGTCTATTTTTAGGTTATTTTCACTCAAATAATCTCTCAAATTTGGGCGAGACCTGATCAGTTTTTGGCTCTTCCCATCAGATCAAATTTACTTAGCTCGACATCACCAGCACATCTTCTTCCGACAGTCCTAGTATTCGTTTACAGAAGTTTCACCATCATGTCGACCATTGGATGCTCAAGATTTTCATGTGGATCGGTTAATTCGGTTATTCGGTTAAATGAGTTTCTTAAAATTTTTGGTTAGGTTCAGTTATCGGTTAAATCAAAATTTTCAAATTAAACTAAAATTAACCGAAATATTTGGTTTTTAGAAAATATTTTGGATTTTAGTGTCCGATCCCAAACAATCCTTTTTTTTTTTGCATTTTAAATGCTATGGCGGTGAGTGGCAGACTCCCGCGCCACATCGAAGAAAAATGTTTCAGATTCCTCTAAGAATAAGTATTAAAAGACGAATGAGAAGAAGAAGTAATAAGAGTAGTAGATTAGATTTGGATTTTAGAACTAGGTTATAACCCATAACCGAATAACCGATCGGTTCACCCCGAACCGGACCAAAAAAAACAGGAAACCGAAACTAATTTTAAATGTTGTTGAGGCGATTTAAGACTAGTTGACTAAGGAAGTCAATGAAAAGTATGGAATAATTATACTTTAAACTATTTTCCAACTTTTGCTCCAAAAAAAAAAAAAAAAAAAAAAAAACTATTTTCCAACTTTGGCATCAAGCCAAATAAAAGCTCAAACTAAAGTTCGATATTTATTTTACCCCGAAACAAAAGGTCAATATGTAAATCTCCCCGAATTAATAGTTCGAGATCTATTAACCCTCAAACCTGAGTTTTGTTGGTTTACTGTTTACTTACCCGATTGTTAAAGAAACTAAACCCAATTAAACAAAAAATAATCAGATTTTTCTAATATATCTCTCTCTTCATCTATTGCACGCTTTATCTCTTTCGTTTTGAACAAAAAAAAGAAAAAAAATGTTTTGAATATTTGAAACTGTGATAAATCGTAGTTCCAGAAATCACTTTGCCAAATCTATACAACATACTCCACAACGTTTTGTAAATTTCTCATTGCAAATCTCAATCTCACTGCTTGTTTACATTTACATTGTCAACAGCCATAATAAACAAAACTTAGCTATATATCTTTTGATTCCTCTCTTCGATGATCGGCTTTTTTTCAGTGTCATCTACGTCTCGTCATTCCCGCCGTCTGATCGGATCATGGTTTTTTTGGAGTGACAGAGATGAAGAGAGAGAGATTAGAGAAATTTGGTTTCTTTGGTTTAATTGGGTTTTGTTTCCTTAATAATCGTTTAAATAAACATTAAGCCGATAAAACCCAGACTTGTGGGTTAATAGATCTTGAACTATTAATTCGGGAGATTCAGATATTGAACTTTTGTTTCGGGAGTGAAATAGATATATAACTTTTTTCGGGGATAAATAGTTTGGGGTCATAATTTGAGTTCCATCTGGCTTGGTGAGAAAAGTTCTCGTTGCAAAATAGTGATGACTTGTGATACCATGTAGCACTCTAAGAGTTTTTGCACAAATTGTATTCATGTTAACATAATGACTTTGTTGTATGAGAGAATCACAACAAATGTTGATTATAATGACAAAATCATCAAGATAAAAACACTTAATACAACCAAAACTGAATGATAAATAACTTTAGTTTTTATTAACCTTACAAAATGTTTAAAAATACTTTTGATTCCACATAATTGTATTATTCGTTAGAAAACTTTCCAATCACAAAATCATACGTCAAACCATGTATTCTACGCATACCTACAACGACGATAACTTGGATCACCACTAATGATTTGACCAGTATGATTGAAATCACATGCCTCTTCAGTGCTCCCGTGATTTCGATAGTAATCATTCATCACAAATGATGCATGGCTAGTAGGAGTATTTGGTTCATAGCAAACGCCACCAGGATTGATTTTTCCACAGTCGACTTGGCCTTCGTTACATGCCCAATCAATATTAGCTTGTAGTTGTGTATCTGTCGCTGATGCAGCTGCCACACACCATGTCTTGGCCAAGATATGAAGTGGTTGAATTACAACTAGAGATAGAAGGAAGATTAGTTTCAATTGCGGAAACATTGTGGTGTTTGCTTTTAACTGATAACTCAAATGATATTGCAATATATATATATATATATAATATGAGAAAATTTTCTTGTGAAAGTAATTTATTTTCATACTATTTTAAT